GCCCGAGATGTCTGTAATCACCATTTCACATCTTCCGCTGTCTCTTATTCTACGCAGTGCAGTTCTCTGTTTCTCCAAAAATATCCGAGTGTTGAGTGCAGCTTGCGGCTCCAGGAGACGTGGGAATCACTTATGCTCTTTGAAATCTCATAGCAAAGATATGCATTTCACCCCAAGTTTTTTTTTTCGTTGTTGTTACTGTATCCTCATTACATCACATCCTATTCAATAGCGTGGGGATCTATTTTTCTGCACATACTGTGTTAAAATGAGCGGGAAGGTATATAAAGCATGCCAGATTATCCCTTTTTTAACTTTGTACTGAGGTGTCCTTGGGGTGATGAGTCAAACAGAATATTAGGAAATCAACAGCTAGAAGCAGAAGTAGTGGGAGCAAAAGGAGGAATATAAGACACCGATTTAACACAGATTTCATACGGCTACATTCTGGTCCTGGTGACACAGAGGCTTTGAATTTCACACATACCTTTAAAATATTCAATGTATATACAAATGATCGTAAAATACAGAAAAAAAATTACTTTATGTTCTTTTTATTCTGTGTGAAACTCAATTGGTTAATATAATTAAATGATTTTGTTACCAGACAGGAGTTAAAACAAAAGTAAGCTCTATAATAAGGATTTTACTTAAAAACAACACATTTCTCCATAGGGTGGCTGGACTCTCAGCATTACAAATAAGTTAGGGAGTTCAATCATTAGACAGGGAGCTTTGAGAAGAGTCTATGCTCCTCCACAGCGAAAGGAGTCTGTGAAGATTGTTTGCCATCTTATCAGAAAATTTTCAGGTTTTCAGGGAATGTCGAACTGGTGATATGAGTTAGTTTTATGTCCAAATATTTTACGCTGTTTATTGTGATGAAGATAAAAATGACAAAAGATTTACTACAAGTCCATCACTGAACCATCAAATACAGCTTTATAACTGCTCATTTAAATTGTTAAACTAGCTGCCTTAAATGTAGCGCAGATAGATAGATAGATAGATAGATAGATAGATAGATAGATAGATAGATAGATAGATAGATAGATAGATAGATAGATAGATAGATAGATAGATAGATAGATAGATAGATAGATAGATAGATAGATAGATAGATAGATAGATAGATAGATAGATAGATAGATAGATAGATAGATAGATAGATAGATAGATAGATAGATAGATAGATAGATAGTCCTGTAGTTGAATACATTGAAAGATTCAGAATTCAATATTTTTTCCTTTAAAGTTTTCTGCTTCCTGTTTGTCTCTTCTCTCTAATTCATCTAAATGATACATTTTCCCAGATTTGATTGCTAACATCTTTTCTGTTTCTAACTCCAGGATGAAGACAAAAGACATAGTAAAGTAATAGTAAAATAACCATCAATCTGCTTCTTTTTCTTCACTGCCACCTGGAGCCATGAAGGAGCTGATCAGCTATCCCCAGCCCAAGGTTACATAATAAGTATGTATTACAAATCCCCGCCTTTAGCCATTTGAAAGTCTCTCTGGCATGACATCCTCCCCCTGCTGAGGACATTAGAAGAAGGCAAAGCCGGATGTTAGATAAAGAGAGAAACAAGCAAACTCACGTCTTCCAAAATTTGCATGTTGAGGGCCATGTTAATGAGGTAATGAGCTGCTGTGATTGCTCGTGTGCTTACCTCGTCCCATGAATCCCTGCCCCTTCACCTTTTGGACCACTACTCAAACACACATGCAATGTGTGACTGAAATGCGAGTAGATGTGCTGAAATTATGCATGGACCTTTCCAACTGAGTGTCCAATACTCAATCAGTCTGCACCTGTTAAAGCTAATGTTTGTGCATAGTGTTGAGGCAAAAAAATCAGGTCAATCTGATGAAGATTTGAATGTATGACCAATATTAGGCAGTAAAGTACATATTTTACATACAAACTAACTGGACATATTCTATTTCTACTTTCAGTAGTTGAATTATATATATATATATATATATATATTTTTTTTTTTTTTTTTTTTTTTTTTTTTTTTTCTCTCATTTTACATACTAAAGTCCCAAGGGGGGCATTTGTATTTGCTGTTTTTTTGTACAATCGTGAATCCGATATACAAGCCGCATCACAGGGGCTTTTCCAGCTTATACACCATCCTAGTGCAACTTATGTTGCGGTTGCACAAACGTTCACAACGCTAATTGCTGCACACATCGAATCAGATGACGAGCTTCAGATCCAACATAGTAAGTTCATGTCTGAAAAGCTGAACAACTCCCCGGTAAAGTGGGCTGCAACATGGATTGTTTGTCTTAATAACTGGCATAAGCAAAGAAGTAGCGTCAGTGGTATCTATGTTTGGATTACACTAAATGTTGCATGTTGAATAGCAAATGTTAAGCTCTGAAAGGCAATGCTTTATGCACAGCTCAACTGTCATACTCTGTTCTCAGTGATAAAAAACTGTTTACAGCAAACTTTAAACTCTTTAAGTCAGTCTTGCAAGCTCAGTTGCAATATATTTTAACCATATTTATTGAAGGGAACTGTTCTATAATTTATGTGATGTATTACTACTACTAAAGAAGTGGCTCTTAAAAGAAGTTGCATAAAAAAATCAGGAGTTTCTAAAATATAATGCTACAAAATCATAACCATCAACCAATCTAATGGTTGAAGAGCCTAAATAATGGATGAAAAACAATCAATATTGGTGTTTTTAATATTTATACATTCAATAGTTTAGGAGCCAAAAAGGTTTGCATTAAAAGGACAATATACGTTTTATTTTAATGAAACAATTAATTGCAAATAATTAACTAATTAATTACAGACCTTGAGATTACCTAATTAAAACTTTTCATTGGGTCCCACCACAGTCTAAAGATATTCCCACTTTAGCAGTGGATTGGTACAGCTCCAAAGCTCTCCTCGGTTTAGTTTGGCAGCTAGAAGTTTTCCGATGGGGCCTACTAAAAATGATTGAACAGCGCTCTGTGTGACGTTCAAACCTAAGGTTATGATTATCTAAACATTATATATATATAATGTTTAGATATAATATAATATAAAGATAAATAAAAACCAGACCCTCCAGATTTTTTTAAAATTCCAAATAAAATTAATGGCTGAAAAAAAAAGTAAAAAAAAAAAGTTTTAAACTATATTTAATTAATCAACAGCTGCTTTAATGATAGGATGCACATGCCATGGTTAAAAGGAGGGGTGCGTATTCTTCCCACGCATGTATTGAATTAGAAAAAAAAAAAAAGAAAAAAAAACATGTTATCTCAGTTTCTATGAAAACTAAATTTGATATAACTAAAGTCTGCACAGTTAGGGCTAAGTGTATAATGTGATCTTAAATTATGAAAAAATAACCTTGGTGTCTTGCCAGTGGTTTGCGGAAGACCAGTTAATTAACCTCTGATAATGAAAGCACTAATTAGGGCAGGGCTGCCATTAAAAATAATATCATCATCTATTACTGACAGGGCTAAAAGGAGAAAGATCATCTGCTCCAGACTTAGAAGTGAGTGTTATATTCAGAAAAAAGTTTGAAAAGAGGCCAAATTCCACATCAGCATCAAGAGCCTTAAAGGAATAGTACACCCAAAACATGATTAGCCTTCATTTTCTACTCACCCCCATGCTGAACAACACTCTGGAGTACTTTTTTGATATCTCAAATGCATCTGGAGATCTGGGAGGCTTCTTGCTGTCTGCTGACATTCAAATAATGGAGGTCTATGGTGACCGAGACAGAAAGGTCCATAAAAGTCCACAAAAAACGTTTCAATATTCCTCCATACTGCTCGTCCAATGTATTCCAAGTCTCCTGAGTGGGTAGCATCCAGAATTTACTCGAAACGAAGTCATTTAGAATGTTTTTAGAGCATAAACAGTAGTGTATAGGATTTCCTGAAAGCGCGCGCGGGCGCGTTCATGACGCTACGGAAGCCGGCAGACCAAGCCAGATGAAAGTGCGCATTCAGCGTCTGCTCTGCCAATAATGCAAGCGTAGAAGAAGAAATGTGCTGTTTACCTGTGCAAAGAAAGAAACAACGAAAGAAAAATGTCTGAGGACTTCAGTGTTGAGGAAGAGCATGAGTTCTTTGCCGAGCTGAATGCGCTGGTTTGGTCTGCCGGCTTCCGTAGCGTCGGGAGCGCGCATGTGCGCGCTTTCAGGAAATCCTATACACTACTGTTTATGCTCTAAAAACATTCTAAATGACTTCGTTTCGAGTAAATTCTGGATGCTACCCACTCAGGACACTTGGAATACATTGGACGAGCAGTATGGAGGAATATTGACACGTTTTTTGTGGACTTTTATGGACCTTTCTGTCTCGGGCACCATAGACCTCCATTATTTGAATGTCAGCAGACAGCAAGAAGCCTCCCAGATCTCCAGATGCATTTGAGATATCAAAAAAGTACTCCAGAGTGTTGTTCAGCATGGGGGTGAGTAGAAAATGAAGGCTAATCATGTTTTGGGTGTACTATTCCTTTAAAAAGATGTCAGGGTATTCTGCAGCTCACTCAATTAAAAACTTAAGATTACCCTTGGGCTAAAGGTAGAGCAGATTACATTTTCATCTGCACATTAATTACAGACCAAACCCATTTTAAAATGGCTTTCTTGAATGCATTGACCTAATTTTTCTGCAAAACCAGGAAAAAAACATAAACTAAATTCACCTGGTTTTGAAACTATGCTGCAAAAAATGGATAAAAGTAACAGCTATGAAGTTTTGCAGAAACCTAAACTTTTACATTTTCTTTAAGTTAATAAATGCAAATTGGTTGCATGCTTTACATGTTCCTGAAAATATAACTTATTTTCAGAGTTGAAAATCATGAAGTGCTGTAATTGCCCTATTTATTTATTTTTTTTTTAAATAAACAACCTCTCCAAAACTCTCCAAAACAGACTACGATGCTGTCCTGAGACAGATTTCCTTCGTGTAACCTTGGAGATCACTGACAGTGGAGATAAGCTTTAATCACTAACCTTCATTATACCACAAGGTGCGTTTCCAGCTCCCTGGATTCTCTCCGCGGAATTATCACGACTGCCACTCCTGATCCGTGGGCTGCTCTGATCCCTGTACCGTCCATTGGTGTACACTCCTTCGGCCGCATAGCCTTGGGCAGCCCTGGACACCTCCAAGTATGTCTGAGAAGCGGTGGGAGGCAGCGCGGCCCCGTCGCCGCCGATCACCGCCGCGTTGGTCGCGCCCTGAGCTTGCGGCGCGCTGATGGCAGGATCCAAAAAATGTCCCGTATCTGAAGCGTGTACCCCTGACATGATCCAGTGGACCTAGAGCAGAGCTCCGTCCCCTTCAGCGTAAAAACAACCCATTCCTTTATGAGCGCAGTCGATTAGCTGTGGTCCGGGGCAGCGCGCAGCAGCGTCTGGAGCTGGGCTGCTCAGGATCAACTGGAATAATAACAGACCTCCTCCGCTCCTGGCTCTCAAAGGGGCGTGCGCTCCAAAAACAATGAAAAACACATCTAGTAGAGACACACTGCTCCGGTGTTTTGTTTGCCACCTTGTACTTTGATTCTCTCTTTTTTTTTTCTCTTAAAAAACAGTTTCACTCACCAACGCCTTGCTTGTGCACAGCCTCGCGTTCTGAAACACTTTTGCAGCGCATGCAAAAAAAAACAAACAAAAAAAAAAAACAGCAAAGGAGGGGAGCTCTTCCCTTTTCATATACATCCACGGGACAAATTCAACACTGTGCAAAAAGCGCAATCACAGTCGGCGCACAGACGCGTGTCCAGCATGCGCGTGCAAGAATGGACACAATTAAATGCAGCAGGCGATGCGCGCGCATTCTCAGTTCTAAAGCCAGTCTATCTGGATTCTCCAGAGGAAATCTGAAGAAACAAGAATCATTTTTACTTTAGCATTAGCATTTTTACTTTTTGGAGTGATAGCATTTTTATCAGATGGTTTAAAAGTAAAATCCACTTTTAGATAGTTACCTTTTGTCCAGTAGAGGGAGCACAACAACGCCTAAAAGATATAGTTGTAAAAGGATACGTTTAAAGTCTTTTTTTTCTTCCATGCAGCCTTTAGTATTCTTGGCAGCAAAAATATTATTTTGGGACTATTGTTATTACTAATATTATTATTATTGTTGTTGTTGTTGTTATTTGCTTGTTAATTTTATTATATCTTTTTTTTCTGATTTATCCAGAGTCTCGGTTTTAATTCTCAAGAATTTGGATCAAGTCTCTCTATTTCTGTAGCAAAGAAACAAAGTCGTGTTACCAACAGGATAACTAAATATTTTGTAGCATTTCCTTTCAGTAGCCTCACTGTAAAATGTTAGATGTAGTGAAGATATGGTGATTTAGCTGTTGATTTAAAAAAAAATGGGGGACAAAGAGTTTGGCCCCTAAAATGTTCTTCTGTCTCTGCTTTTAACCAGTATTCAATTTCCAGACCCAGTATCTAAACTAGATTTAAGTCTTAAGTTTTTACTTTTCTTTAAGCCTTTCAGACATAGATTCATCTAGGTGTACTTGAGCTGAAGGTCAAAATTACAGCTTTTCTTAGACTTAAAATAACTTTATTGTAAATTGTTATTCTTTTTTTTTCAGTTTTTAATTTTTTTCAACATTCAGTAGTCTGATGGGGAAGAAACTGTTGCAGAATCTGCTGGACCTGCATTGAATGCTGCAAACGTCTCTTCCCAGAGGGCAGCAGAGAGAACTGTCCATGGTGAGGTTGTGAAGGGTCATTTATGATGTTACAAGCCCGGGACCATCAGCGCTGGGATGAAATGTCTTTAATGGCTGGAAAAGGAGCCCTGATGATCTTCCCTGCAGTTCTCACCACTCTTCTCGCATTCTTCCAGTCTGAGGCGCTGCAGCCTCCACACCACACAGTGAAGCAGCTGGTCAGAACGCTCTCTATGGTGCTTCTGTAGAAGGTGGTGAGGATGGGTGGGGGCAGGTGGGCTCTCCTCATCCTCCGCAGGAAGGGCATTCTCTTTTGTGCCCTTTTGACCAGTGAGGTAGTTTTTACAGTCCAGGTGAGGTTGTCTGTGTTGTGTACCCCCAGGAATTTGGTGCTGCTGACCATATTTCATCTTTCACTTTTCAACCAAACGTAAGCATCATTTGGACGTAAATCATGTCATCTTTTCAAAGTCTTTTCAACCACTTTTTTTTCCTTGGTCGGGGGGGGGGGGGGGGGGGTTCCATTAATTATGAGAAGTCATCCAGGTGATCACCTGAGCAGGTTCCTACTTAGAACCAACATGATTGACTCTCTGCTTGATATTTGTTTCTTTCTTCTTAAAATTCCTTGTTAGTTTTAAGACAGATCTAACAGAAGATGGCCCTTCTCAAAACTTCTACTTTTGTCCCATCAACATTTTTTTTTCTAAATCTCTTGACCGTCCTTTTTTGTTTCCTTCCCTTAGTGCCATTTTACACAGGCTCTTTATTATTGTTGAATCATTAACACTGACCTTTACAGAGTGAAGAACTGATAACCTGTCTGGGAAGTTTCCTTCACCTCTCATTCGACCCTAAGACAACTAGAGAAAGGCACCAGGCACTAACCCTGCAAGAATAAGGATGCATAGACAAAGCACAGATGGACTGAGGCCTGCTGGGCTCTGGAGGTTCTTTAAACCTTTATTGTTACCTCCTAGATGCACTGCCAAAATACTTTGGTGTTGACCGTCAGCTTCCGGGGATGGTCGACACACTTCTCAATTTTCACAATTTGTGGTTTATGACCCTTCTCAGAAATGTTTTATTATTATTTTCAGACTGTAGATATCTACAGCATTTGAAGTCATACAAGAAAAGTGACTGATGACAATTATCTCATGATTTGGCAAAAGAGGGTAACCGTTTTTTACACAAGGTCAAATGGTTTAGACACTTTTCCCTCTTAAAAATGAAATAATCTTTTGAAAAATACACTTTTATATCCATTTTGTTTGGATATAAAATAGTTTTTTTTAATTCAGCGTAAATGCAGATCTTATTTTAGGAAGTGAAAGCAAACAAGAAGTGACTGTTTACCATTTTATTTCAAGCTGTGGGTATTTATAGGATGAGAATAGGACTAAACCTTCTTACTTTCCATACTGAGTAGATACACTCGGATTACATGTTACAATTTACTAAATGTATCGCTTTGAAATATTGATGCTACAATAAAATATTCTTTTAATTCAAAGTGTTTCACATATCATTATAAACAACATTCTCCATGTCTATGTAAGCGAAAAACAATCTTCCTAATCCAATAAAACAAGTCAAACATGTATGAAATTCTGTCTAAAACATTATAATGGTTCATTTAGTTTGTTTTCACTCACCTAATACACCAAGGAAACTAACACATCAGTTTACACTCATCTATAATTCCACAGTATTACCCTTCATCAAAGATGCAAGCATGCTTTTCCATCTCCTCACTTTCATTCTTCTAATGTATTGATTTTAAGACAATTACTAAGAAGGGAAATAAAAATCCTCTTGGCTCTGTTTGTTTGGATTCAGTGCATTAGAAAGCACACACTATGTTTTCCATTTCTGGACACATTCTCTATGCATCTGCTGCCCTTTCTATGGTCAGCCCAGCAAAGAGCCACACAATGGCGGGTAAAGCATTTAATGTTACATCATCAGATGTGACTTGAGCAGTAAACTGAGATAATGTGACTCCATTTATAACCTGAGGGTGCAAATCAAGTCCTGTTGAGCATGTCTGGGCAGAGTCCAGTGAAGCCGAGCATGAGCTATATTCTGAATATAATTTGTTTAAATGTGAGGAATTATAGACAGAAATCGCACAAAGAAAACAAACAATATTTAGTTATTTTTTAATGTGATAATTTTACATTTTTAATTCTATGATGCTAGTGGTTCTATGTGGATGATCTCACAGGTAGGGCACAAGGGGAGCTATTCACAGAGAGTCATTGCCAAAGAAGCTGACCTCTCTCAGGCTGATGGATTCAAACATATTAATGCAAGGTCAGGTAGAAAGAGAATAAAATGCGGTGCATAAAATGTTTAATAAGAATTACAGAAATCTGGAGAGGATTGTGAAGCAAAGGTACTTTAAAAGTGTGGACATGGACTGCAGGATGAGTCAATGCTTTGAGAGCTACCTCGCAAAAATGCACTGTGAGCGAGAGCGAAAATTGTTGCATTTCTTTTAAATGAATCCTCTCCAGAACCAAAAATAACCTCAGCAATATCTAATGGATGGAGAAGAAAAATGGTAGCACTGTTGCTTAGTAGTTTAAAAAACCTATTTTCTAATCAAAGTTAGTATTTGATTTGGAAGCCAGAGTCTTTTGAAAGAGAGAGAGAGGCCCAGAATCCAGGTTTGATTTGGTGGGTCTTCTGCTTTGGTTTGTCCACTGAAATATATATATTTTTTTTTTACAAACCGCAAATCACTTCTGTTTGGAAATGTCGCATGCCTCCCTGTTCTGACAAGCTTCAAGGAGAACCTGATTATATTTCCAGCTAAATCCAACACCTGCCCACTCTGCCAAAAGTGGCAATACCTGATATAATGACTGATGCTGATCAGCTAGAAAACTCAGCAGTCATGTCAAGAAGGCAGGAGACAAGGGGGATGGTGGTCCAGTGGTTAGAGCATAGAACGAAGCATAGAATCCCAAGGTTGTGAGTTCAAAACCCATTCCCACAGACTGCCAATCTGGCTCCCTGCGAAAAAGACCCTTAACCCCACACTGCTCCCCGGGCCCCTCACGATTGCAGCCCACTTCTCCCCAAGGGGATGGATTAAATGCAGAGTAAATTTCTTTGTGCTGTACTTGTGACAGTGTAACGACAAAAAAAAAAAAAAAACAACGATGAAGAAAAGATGAAGGCTGCTGCTAAAGCATCCTGGACCTCTTTAACACCTCAAAACACTGCATGCCTCCATGCCACTCTCAGGTATTCCAGTATAATGTAATAGTGAATTTATCTAAGGAAAATCATTTTGTTTTTCCTTTTTTTAACGTAAGCAACAACAATATTAAGAAATAATAAAGTTTTGAATAATATCAGCCTGTTTGGAGGTCAGCTCCATTTTTTGCACAGAAAGGATCATAAGAAAGGTTTGAGGAAAAAAAGGAAAAATCAGACAATAAAAGTTATAGCAGAAGGTGCAAAAGAAAAGGACTCGTGAGGATGTATTACAAAGATTTTCTTTTTTTGGGGGGGGGGCATGGAGATTAAAGTGATTCCATGCTTCTTTTCTTTTCCTCATTCCCTCTCTGCCTCTCTCTACTTTGCTTGCTGCTCTCCCAGCATCGTGTATTATGCATAATCAGAAATAATTCAGTAAAACTTCTGCTTTTAAAAGCCTCTTCACTCGACCCAGCTGTCTCACTATAATGTAAAAAGGCCTCTGATGAAACAGGCCTCAAACTTCTAGTTCACACGGGTCCACAGAGCTTGATCAGTGAACCTTTTAAAAGGTGCCTCTGATTGATTCACCCACAAACACTGGATGTGTCACACTGGACCGTCCTTTTTTGTCAATTAGGTGGGAAGGCATGAAGGGAAGAAAACAGGTTAACAGTTTTTGGGTGTTGTTAAACAAGAAAATAAAGCAGTGTACTGCATATGCAAGTCTGAGATGGTTTTGTTGAAAATAA